AAGTCTGCTGCCTTGCACTTTGAAGTCTGCTGCCTTGCACTTTGTCTTGTTTTGCCATATATCACTGTTTCTCATCCCAGTCCTTGGGGACTCCCAGACAGACCACGTTTCTGTTTCCTCCCAACTCCCAATCAAACCTGTACTAGATGTGGTTGAGTTTAAAATTTATTGAGTGGGCAGGAGGGGGGCGGTGGCATGGTGCAGATTAAATTGTGTTTCGTTCCAGCAGTTAAGTTCCCCTGATATAGTCAGTAGATTTATCTTTATATGAAGGACAATTGCACAGGACAATGGTACGGAATGGGAATGGTATGTTCTGAAAGGGGATGACTTTTCTCATTAATTCCTATGGGGGAGGGGGGCATCCTCATGTAACCCTTGAAAACTCGAGCCCTGTATACCAAGTATTTCACCTTGCTTGTTTGGTTCTGATGTGCTGTATGGAACTGCCTGGGGATGCCTGAGGACTGGAGTGAGAAACATGTTTCTTTGCACGTACTTTATGTACCTCGCTGCTGTAAGCACTAGAATTTACCCCAATGTATCAGTAAAGTTCAGCTTATGAGTAGAAGTCAGATGGATGGATGAATAGATGGATGGATGCCTCCATCATTTTTGTGGTCTTCCATTTGTAAACGACTCAATCCCTAGCATCACAGTTTGCACTGAAGGCTTCATCCTCGACGTGACCTCAGCTCTGCTTTCTCAGGTCATCTTCGAGGGCAGAGTCACCGCCGAATCAGGCTCCGCGTCCCTGGACAGCGTCTGGCTCTCCGCCTGCGAGTCGGTGGGCAACGGAGGTGAGCGTCCCTCCGGTCCCCACTCAGAGAACGTCCCGCAAGGATGTTACCACATGCTTAAATCTAAAACAAGGACAATATGCAATTTTCCTTTAGCCGCGGTGTCCTAAGTGCCCGGCGTAGCCGCGGTGTCCTAAGCGCCCGGCGTAGCCCCGGTGTCCTAAGCGCCCGGCGTAGCCCCGGTGTCCTAAGGTTCCAGCGTAGCCGTGGTGTCCTAAGCGCCCGGCGTAGCCGCGGTGTCCTAAGCGCCCGGCGTAGCCGCGGTGTCCTAAGCGTCCGGCGTAGCCGCGGTGTCCTAAGTGCCCGGCGTAGCTGCGAGTGTGCTGTGGCATCTGTGAGAAACAGCCTAAAGACTCCAAGCTGATTGCCTCCATCTCCCCATAAGTGAAACAAATGGGCCTGTAAATTTGTATCGATTTTCTCATTTCGAGGGCAATTGTACAGACCCGTCGGGTTTCCTGTAAAGTACAGCACAAAGCTCTTGCGTTGATGTGCTGGAGGAAGCTGGTTCTCCGGCTGTAGACCACAGAGGATTGTGGGATTTTGGTGGTGCTGTGTCACTGTTGGAGCACTGCTGGGCACGATAGTGTTTACTTACAAAAAAACAAAAACAGTCAGAGAGCAAAATACTGTCACAACTGCTGGTGAGAGTTTCGTCTGTATTACTGTCAGTAGAAAAACACAGATTTTGAAACTAATTGTCTCATTGTCAAAGACTTCGTTTTGGAAAACTTTGGCCATAGTTACACAGAATAGATATTTAAATGTGTTGACACATTTGCATATATACATACAGGGACATAAACTTCATGTGATGTTCACTTAACTGGGGCTGATTGATTTGTTGTCATCGATACACCTGTCGTTTGCAGAGCCCTACCCACTGGACACTCTCCTGGCATAGGACGCAATGGCATGATAGGACCCTGTAGCCTAATGGATGAGGTGTAAGACTCCAGTGCTGGGGGTGGTTGGTTTGAGTCCCTTCAGGATTATTTCCTTAACACCCAGCAAGAAAGATCTTTAATCAAGCAGGTGTCTGCTTCAGGGGATGGTGTGTGGCATACTGTGTATCAGAAGGTTGTAGGTTCAAATCTGTGATCAGTAATATTATCGATCCTCGGAGCTGCGGGGTGGGCTGGGGTCTACAGACTCACTGCTGTAGTAGAGCGAAATTTTATTAAACATATATTTTCCTGTTAGAAGTTTTCAGCAGAAAAAAAATTATACGAGGACGATGGTAGATGAAATGTGGATTAAATAATGGCATGCAAATTGTGCTGAAGATGAAAGAAATGGTGCCATTAATCTCTCTCTGTGGTGAGGGGTTGGAAGAGATATAGTGGGTAGTTAGTGGAGGGGGCACCTAAGATATACAACTGGAATTGTGACTCTGTACTTTGATGCTGTGGCTCAGTGGATGGTGCAGTTGCCTCCACATACTCTGACTCCCACCACTGTGACTCCCCCCTGTGCCTCCTGCCACTGTGACTCCCACCACTGTGCCTCTCGCGACTGTGCCTCCCCCCACTGTGACTCCCCCCACTGTGCCTGACATGGATGAATTGATCACTGTAAATTGCCCAAAGTTTTTTGTGTATGTGTGCCCTGTGTTGAACTGGCATCACATCTGCGGTGCCCCCTGACTCATGCCCAGTAACGGACTGGCATCCCGTCCAGAGTGTCCCCCTGCCTGGTGCCCTGTGATGGACTGGCATCCCGTCCACTGTGTCCCCCTGCCTCGTGCCCTGTGATGGACTGGCATCCCGTCCAGGGTGTCCCCTGCCTCGTGCCCTGTGATGGACTTGCATCCCGTCCAGGGTGTCCCCTGCCTCGTGCCCTGTGATGGACTGGCATCCCGTCCA